TTTTGTCTGCGTGAGTCTACTGAGAGCCTCCATGCGTGTAAGTGGTACACTGCTGGGCTTGTTGGCAGTGGGCCGTCCGGTTGGGACAGCAAGTCCAGTATGTTCAGAAGCACTACTGGTGTTTCGACTATTATTTCCAGCAGGAGCGGAAACCAGGCCTTGGTCGGCCAATTGGGCGCCACCAGAGTTAATATGCAGGTGGGCTTTTGTCAAAGGTTCTCCAGTACCCGGTGAATTAGCGGGAAGGGAGGAAAGGCGTACGCATCCATGTGGGACCACGGGATCAATAAGGTGTCCACGGCCCAGGCTCATGGTGTCGGCAGGAGTGTTACGTACGTTGGGAGCTTGGCATTCCGGGGTGCAGCTAACAGGTCTATCCTTGGACCATCCCACAGCCAAAACAGCCTGGAGGCTACCCACTGGGGTATCTGCCACTCCGTGTTCTGGAGATGGAGCCGCCTCGAAAGGGAGTCTGCCAGACCGTTCCTCACCCCTGGAAGGTGGTGGGCGGTTAGCTCCACATTGTATTCCAGGCACCAAAGGAGAATTTGCTCTGCTAGGACTGACAACGATGGGGAACGCGTTGCCCCCCCCTCCTTGTTGATGTAGGAAACCACCGCTGTGTTGTCTGTGCAGAGCAGGACTCTGTGGTCTCGAACTTCGGGTAGAAAGCGTGATAGTGTTAGATGTACAGTTTTCAGCTCGAGCCAGTTGATATGGTGGTCCCGAACCCATTGCGGGGGCCATAATCCTTGGGCTTGTTTGTCCAATAGATGCGCTCCCCACTCTTGGAGGGAGGCGTCTGTTACCAGAGTCATAGCTGTGACAAGTGGATCCAAGGGGACCCCCTGTCTGAGGTTGGTCAGTGACGACCACCAGGACAGGGTTTCCTTCGCTTGGTCCGGGATCAATAGTCGCCTGTCTAGTTCCCGTAGGTGAGCTCGGTGTTCCAATAACAAGTGTTGGACCGGGCGGCTGCGTAGTGCGGCCTGGAGAACTACCCTTCGAATGAAGGTCATCATTCCGATGAGCCGCATTAGTTCTCGGAGGGATGCTAGGCAACATGCTTGAGATGGGCAAACCATGCCTACCTCAGTGTCGAACTCCATGCCTAGAAATACCAACTGTTGAGTCGGGTTGGGATGGGACTTTTTCTGATTTACAAGCCCAACTGGTGAAGTAAATCCTGTGTTAACCTTACTTGTATGGCTAATAACCACTTGTCTGGGTTGTGTAACAACCAGTCGTTTAGGTACGGAATGATGTGTACCGACATTTGGTGGAGCAGCAGTACGACGCGTTTCTTCACTTTGGTGAACACGTAGGGCACTGTGGATAACCCGAAGAGGAGCACCCGAAATTTGAATACTTGGCCCAGGTGGGGCGAATGAAAGGAGAGGGCAACTCGCTGGGTGCATCGGTATGTGCAGGTATGCATCGTTTGAGTCTAAAGAGGCTAGCCAGTCGAAAAAGTGGATGGATAGTAGGACACTGGATGGTGTCTCCATGCGGAACCGATCGAGAGGCACATACTGAATTAGTCTGCTTAGGTCCAGAACCAGACGCCAACCGCCAGTAGATTTTGGTACTACGAATACATTTGAGTAGAAGCCCGGACTTAGTGCCAGCTGAACTATTCTGTGTACGGCGCCCTTTCTTAGCAAACTGTCTACTTCCTGTCTGATTGCTTCCACCTTGCGGGGTCCCCTGGCAGTGCCCCCTACGGTGAACCCTGGCTGGTTGAAAGCAGGGGGGAGGTACAATGTATGTTCTGACCCGAACGCCCTGCCCCGAAAACGGAGTCCTGGCTACCAGCGTCCCCGTTGGTGTTACGTGTCTGAGGTTCCCGAGGGGACTTGCTGCCACTAGCCTGAGCCTCGGCCTACCCCGAATCAGCGTGGGGGTCACGGCTGGGAACGGGGGGTTCCCCGGAAGAGACGTGTTTAGAATGCGAACGGTGCTTTCTGTGTTTCTTCCTACTTGCCGGCTGAGAGGCCGCAGTGGAGACAGCTCGCTCCGCCTGCAGGTGATCTACTCTGCCTGCCAGGGACGCAATTTGCCCTGACAGTCCTTCGACCAATGCCCTCATTTCAGCAGCAAAACCGGCGTCGTGCGAGGATGGGTCCACAACGGGACCCAGCGCTGGCCCCATAGGAGGAAAGACCTCCAGGGGCACAGCCTCGTTGTTGCCGGTAAAGTTGGGAAACCCACTGTCTGAAAAAACAGACTGTGTAGATGCCCTCCGATCAGCGGGGGAAGACCGAAAAAAATCGGCACCCCCACTATCGGGCCCTTTGCTTGGTATCCCGGTATGAGAACCGGTAGCCGAGCGCGAGGACTTGTCATTCATGCCAACGCACAACTCACTCATACCCATGCCGGTAGCACTTGCCGCGCGACCTATT